GATTCAAATATGTTTAATTATTTTTATGAGACTAGCACTGAAGTGTATTATCTGTGCATACATGATGCTATTATAACAGGAATTTCCAATTTGATGAATGGTGTGTGCTGAACTGTCTCTATTCTGTCTCTCCTTTGTGACCAGTATCATGTATTTTATAAATAGTTTACTAGAAGGATAGGTAATCGAGTCAGTCATACATTATAAGCTTTCATAATGTGAAACTGACTGAGCTGCACAGAGATTCAGCCTACAGTCTGGATCTTTCTTCTTTCTGTCCACATTAGATATCATACACATACATGTTTGTGCGTGTATGTGTGTGTTACAATCTACTTCATTATAAAAATGATTTGTGGTTAAGAGTTATATATGTAAGGCAGAAAAATCCACTATATTCTGTTAAACTAATCAGACAAGTAGGCCATTAGGTCCATGTGGCTCTCCTGCTGTGACAGCCTATGTAAGCAGACTAAAATCTAAGCCTGTAAATGCCTCAAGTTTACAAAATCGAAATCTAAGGACAAGCAATCACAGCCAGGGAGGCTTTAGGCTGTAGCCAATCAATACTTTGCTCGCTTTGCTTCCGCCTTTTCTCCTAAAAGTCTCTCCCTCCTTCCCGTCAGTGGAGTGCTCCTGACCACTTCCGGTTTGTCGCTGCTCAAAGCAATCGATAATTCTTAAAAAAAAAACTCTCAAAACTTTTCATACGCCTCAAGTTATCTCAGCATATTTAAAAATATGTAACTCAGAAAAATGAAAAAATAAATACTTCTTTCCGTTTTCTCCATCAGCTGTTAGGAAGGCGGCTAGCTTTATCACCCCAGTTCCAGGCGGAGTGGGGCCCGTGACTGTGGCGATGCTTCTGAAGAACACCCTTCTGGCGGCCAGGAAGGTCATTGACTAGGTCACGTGGAAGGAGAAGGCGAACTGAGGGCATGCTACCTATTTATTTGACAAAGGGCAAAAACCTTTATATTTTACTATAAAGCTATTTATTTCTACATTGTATTTATTTTTTCATGGATGGAATCATTGTGGATCAGATGATTCACACCACATGCATTTCCTGCTAACAGATTTTGAGTTTTAGAAAAACAAAACAATTCCAACAAAAACTTTGGTAACAATTGTTTATTTTGTGAAAAATATTTGTTCATAATGTTAAAACAGTCTTGAAGGGCTCATAATAAATGAATATATTTTTGACACAAATATATACACAGTGTGTTTTTGACAAATGTTTTGTTAGCTAGATGAGCATCCTTGTAAAATGTAATTTAGGTTTTGCCATAAGCATGCTCAATTTTTATGAATCTTCTGTTTTACGCTATATACTGAAAAACAGCTTGCTTGCTAAAAGAAAGATAAAATATTAAAAGTAAAATATCCATCTCATGTATCTCCCAAAAGCATCCTATGAGGTATCCTAATGAATAATGATACTCTATCAAGTAAAGAAAAATATACAAAGAAGGCAAAAATGCTACTGATTATTTCAAGCCACTGATTATTTCAAATTATGGATGACTACTTGCTAGAGTAAAAAGTGTAATAATATGTTGGGTTTACATGTAATTTCTTTGTTCTTATAGGAAAATATTTGGACAGTAGCTTCTTTGAGGAATAATGGAAAATCCAAAAACAAATGAATATACAAAAGAAAACTAAAGCTGTATTTTCCCATAGATATCAGAAAAATATGACATAGTATGAGTGAAGACTTCATTAAAGAACAAATGTTTGTTCACAAATTCAGAAATCTAATAGAAAAACATGTTACTTACAATGTACCAAAATTAACCTTAGGATATGACTAAAAATCTACTGCCTTGTTGATTACAGTTCTTCCCTCTTCTGTTATGGCATTTGGTTCTCAAAATAGATGCCATATTTGTAACGAAATTTGTTAAGAAATACACATGAGTGTCAGTTGAAGTCTATTTGACACTACCCTAGGCACACAACTGTGTTGTTTTCATGCCCAAATCCCAGTACATTTATGTACCAATAACAACTCTTACCCAGTTATTAGTGTGTACTATTGATCATTGGTGTGAAAATAGACTAGATGCTTATAATTAATACTTCAACTGTATAATAAAAGCAATTTAAAGAATATTTGTCTTCTTTTTTCTTTAAGATATATGTATTTCTTTACCATATGTTGTCTTATTTTTTTACAGAATTCTAGAGAAATGTACAAGTTTCTCAGACATGGAAGAAAAAGTTCTATAGCCCATTACACTATCAGTCCAGACCAGTCTTTGTCTGATAACTCTGGCAGATGTTTAAAATCAGTGCTCCCAAGCAAACATTTCAGAAAGGGCCTCTTTAACTTTTAAGGACCCCAAATTCCCAAAACAAACAAAATGACCCAAAATGCTGTAATGGAAAAGGTGAAGTCTGTAATTTTGAACTGACCTCCACCTTCCCAAAGTGAAGCAGGAGTTATTTTTTGAAGGTTTTTGCCCCATTAGCTAGGCTAAACTCAGGAAGGAGCCATTCCAGAGACTAAAACACTATAAAAAATTATTCTTAAATTTGTTAAAAATGGTAAGGAAGAGTTTTTGAAGACTTATCATGGGGTCAAGACTATTGCAATACAGGAGATTGAACTCAATTCTAAGTACGGCAGATAGCTGTAGATTTATAGCCAATGAGCAGAATGAGGGGTTCGTGGATAGAGAATTACTTAGAGAAACTTGATTATATATCAAGCATAGGGGGATTCTTGCTAAACGAGAATTCTTACTAAAGTCAGGCCAGATATCAAGGGTGGAAGATAGGGAACCTAATCAGATATCAAGGGGGTGGGGAGATTTCCCATAAACTGAGCAGGATTCTTTGCTAAAACTGGTCTCAGCAGGCCAAGTTGAGGCCTAGTCAAGAAGAGGACTCAGAGGAGCCTGACTAAAGTTTGGTCAAGGAGGACTTTGTCAACAGACAAAGGAGATACAGTTGATTTGTTGGTATGACCTTGACCTTATTTATGGTATTTGGGGTCCATAAAAGATAGACATGATAGCCCTGTGGAAAAGCTTTAGAAAAGTAAGTTTCCTTTTCCTACGAGTGTCTGTAAAAAGAACCTAGAAGAAGTAATGGAGATTGAACAGTAATATGAAATTATGAGGTGAGAATGAGCTTAGCATATATACATGAAAGCAAGAGTTACAGTCAGACTGAAATGAAGTGTGTTAGAGAGTGTTAGAAATACGGCTGCTTAAGGAGGCAGACATAAGTTAGAAAAAGTCTGGATAAGTCAGAATCAAGCCATATTTATTAAGTTAAGGGAATTGCAGTCAGAGCCTGGAAGATGTTGTCATTGATAAACATGAAGTTGAAAAGGCAGCTGATTTTGGAGAGAAGATAATGAGTTTAAGACATGTTGAGTTTGGTGATGACATAATACATAAAAGTCCTGACATACTATCCTTCTAGGAAGAGAATAAGAATTCACAGTGATGAAAATTTACGATTCATTAGCATGTATTACCACTAAATTCCTGACCTTTCTGACCATTATACACACCCTGTGTCTTTCTACACTTACTCAATAGTAACAGCTATCCTTAATTCACCTGTCATGTGCTAAATGCTTTACTACTTTGTTGTTATTGACAATCCCCATTTGATTGCGGAAGAAACCTACCCTTGGGGTTTTAAAAAGCCTCAGCCAAAGCCAAATGTGTAGCAAAGGTGGAATTGGAATTCAAAGCAAGTTCTGCTGGGATGATACGAACCAGAACCCACTCTTTACACTGCCCTGCCTCTCCTCAGTGCACCCCCAACCTAGAATCTTTCTCTTAATCACTGTATGTCTAAATTCTACTTGTTTTTTAAGATTCAACTCAAATGAAAACTATCCATGAAAACTGCCATGAGAGTTTGACTAAGTCCTACCCATGAACTCTCATAATTATGCACACATTCATAATACCCAGTATTGTAATTATGTATTTGCTTCAGCTCCTTGAAGTCAGAGTGCTTACATGGTTTGTATATTTGTCTTGCAAACATCATCACACCCAGCCCAATGTTATGGATGTTGTAGGCATTTAATATTTTATGAATGAACAAATGAATGAATGGCAACTGAATCCATGAGACATATAGAGTAAGTTTAGAAAGAGATAAGCAATGGACTGATGACTGTTTCCTGACAGTGTCCGCCAACAAATTTTGGTTGTGTTAATAATAGAATAAGACAGAAGGAAAAAAAACAGGAAAGGTGAGGAGAGGAAAAAGAAGAAAAAGAAAAGAAAGAGGAAGTTGAAGGAGAAGGGCAGAGAAAGGAAGACATTTCCAGAGATGCTTATGACCAGAGGAGAGAGACGAATAAATTAAAAAGACAGAGCAAGTCGTAGGAGGAAAAATTGTAATAGAGTGCTGTGGCTCTTAGCCTTCTCTTCTTTCTCCCTCCAGCCTGCTTAGCATGTATCAAGAATAAAGAAAGATATCAGTGAAGTTACCTTATGACACTAATCTGCCCCATTCTTCAGGATTGGGGGAAGGACTTTTTGGTGAGAGGATTAAGGAAATAGAGGCAGGAGATCTGCTTCAGAGAGTGTAAGCAGGATCCACTGGTGAGTCCCAGAGAAGAAGAAGCCTGTGGGGCGACTCAGAGCTATTTTCTGGTATAAGCCTGTAGCTAAAGTGGTAGGTGAATTTCTATATCATGTGACCTAATTCACCAGAATGGGGAAACTCCTAGAGAAATAGTGGTCTATTTCCCTCTGTCCAAATGGGTATGAAAGCCACAGTTAATTGAATATTTAGATTCTTATGACAAAGGTAATTTATTTAAGTCTTGATTTTAGGAGATAATTAAGAGAATTCTTCTGAGATCAGTATACCAACTCCTACTTGAGGACACAGCTGGGGATATAGGGAAGGCATATGATCTGGAACCCAAATACAGATTCAAATCCTGACTACAGTGTGTCCTTAGGCAACTCACTTAATTCTTGTAAGTCTCCATTCCTCATTTGTCATTTGGGAATAAAAATAGGGCCTATTGTTTATTTCTTTATTCACTCAAGACAAATTCATTGAGAGTATACTTCTGAGAGCCACTGAATTTGTTGGGACCAGGATTACTGAAGAAAGAACTGAAACGTGCATGAAAACTTTATGCTAAGTGAAAAGCGCTGTGCAAGCACCAGTTCACAGTTTTTACAAAGATGGATGTTGTTCTCTACCCTGGCCTTGGAAATACAGATAGTTAAAATTAGTCCTAGTATCTCCCTCCAGAAACTGCAGCTGATAGTGATGGCTTATTTAATTCTTTGAAAATGATTTCTTCTTAAATTCTCACCCACGTTACAGGTGATTGTTTGATTTGTAATTCAAATATTATTTTCTTAGGAAAAATATCCAGAAATTATCTTAATAATAAAGTTTAAAAAAAAAACCCACAAAAGTAGAAAGACAAAACGTAGGCAGACTTTAAAGTGAGCCAAGTACTATATATTCTTTTACCTTTAAGATGATGACTCCTGTGGTAAGTGATTGCCCAAGTTATAATGAGTTCAACAAGCTCATTCTTGTGTGATTTCTAAAGCCAAATTCATATTTGAATAGTGAAAGAGATCCTTTCTGGTAAATCAAATTAGCTGTGTGGACATGATGCAAATGATAACTTATCTTGACTTAAACAGGTTTTCAAGGTACAGAAAAAATAGGCAATTGAAATTCACAGTACAAAGGCACAACACTTTAGCAAAACATTTTTGTAAGTTATTCACAAAAATTTGGGGCAAGTGAAATTTTATGGGAAGCTCCTAGTCACAAAATGTAATAGCAATAATTACATGTTTTGGCCTTTAAAATGGCATTTTAATAATCAGGACTAGATTAACAGTGAGAAAAAATTTGAATATTGTGTTAAATTTAAAACTGCCATTCATTAAATGTACCAAATGTAAACATTTTAATTTTTATCTTTTTGGAGAATTTTATTATTGCTGTCATTATTATTATTATTATTAGGCTTTACTGGTCCTGTCTAGCCTAACCTTTGGGCCATAAATGTGAGCACTGGAACTTGGTGGACCACTCCAATTACTCAGAAAAATACTGAATGGTAGGATGGCATAAAGGTAAATATTTGTTTATTAAAAACAACCATTTTTACAGAACTTGTAAAATTAAGTGGTAAAAACTAAAATGGAATATTAAATCTCTGTTTTACACAAACTTAATTGTTCTCTTCTTCCACTAAATCACAAAACATGGTGATTTTCAATGGAACCTAGTCTGTACTAAAAGTTAGTGTAGCCAACTAGGTTTCAGGGATATTTCTATAATGAAGAGGTTATGCTGTGTCTTGTTTACAAATATCAAAACTCCCCTTTGTAGGAATCCTATATAGGCGCCAGCAGCTTTGAAGCTGAAACAGTTCTGTTCATACCAATGGGGCTTCTCCTGAGTTCAGAGTCTTTTTTGTTGTTTTAAGTACTTTTACTTACACAATTAAGCCCACAGGTAACAGGAAACCAGTGTTTCAAAAGAAAGCTTGATCACATTGCTAGATAACACAGGTATCCTAAGCAAGTGCGTGAGCACCCGGAGGCTTTATGCTGCTTCCACAAGTACATATTTTTTTGATTGGTAAGAACTGCCAGGTGACGCTTCATGAAATATAAATGCCAGAAAGGCACAGAGAGCTCAAGGCAAGCCTTCCGCCTGTCCGTCTAGGAGGATAAGAACAGGAACCTGTTCCCAGCTGCAGGAGATGGCGTTCACAGTTCCAGTATCAGTCTATCTCCTATTCCACGGTAGGTGATTTCAGCTGGTTCTGTTGATGTTGTATCCATGTAAAATGTGAATGGGATTTTTCTACTCTGAATTACTGAGAACTTGGCTTTGAACAGTTGTTCATAACACAGATCAGAGCAAGGAACCTGAGTTACTTTAGTTTCTTATGTAATATTGTTCTCTCCTAATATATTTCAACATCTTTTTTTTGATACCTTTAAATGTTTGCTTTATACAACTAATGAGAAGTTGAACATTTTAACTACTATACCATAGCATCCTTGTTATTGAGTTAGTGATATAAATGCATTCACTTTCTTTTCAAAATGAATGTTTCTATTTTCTATAATCATAATATATCCAATGGAACTGGTATGGATGAGAAACTGTCAGATTATAGATTTCAAATGTAGATGAATAAAATAGAACAGAAGTGGAAATAGAGTAACTTTCAGTCTGTTGCTTGTACATAGAAGGAGGCTCACCTGCTAAAGATGCCTTTTCCCCTCTCCCTCCAGCAATGACAGCCCTGACTGAAGAGGCAGCCAGGACCATAACACCCACCATCACAACCCAGCAAAGTAACTGGACAGTTAATAAAACAGAAGGTATTTTCTTTGCACTTTTGTATGTCAAGTAACTTTTTTTTAACTTTTGAGAGAAATTTAGATTGTGATAAAACTGACTTGAAAAATTAAAAATATTTTATTATTAGATTATCAACTCTTTAGGCAGAATGTAGGCAAATGTGTCAGCAAAAATTACCTTTTTAAAAGGAAGAAGGTTGAAATAAATGAGAGGAATAAAAGTTGTCTTCTGTTACTGTCCTGAATATGACACACATGCCACATTTCTGCTTGGTTCTTGCTTGATTCCCAGTAACCCATGTATGTCCAGAGGCAGACTGTCCCCATTTTGGCATTCTTGATGAATGACATCATATTTTGATGTGTGACTGTGAGCTTTGCAACCAAGAAATTATGGCTACAAGATGAAACCTTAACCCACTTTCCCACATTTTTGGAATGATCTTTTTTCTTGTTTGTTTTTGGGGGCTTTTGTTGTTTTTTTAACATATGCTCTGTTTCCTAACCACTTGTGCCCAACTGTTCTTGTTGATAGTGATGACAGGTTTTCTTTCTTATTTTGCTACTGCTGTTGAGCATCAGCATTTTTTCCAAACTCTTTGAACTCTTAGAGATGAACTTAGTTTGTTACCTGCCGAGACTGTGTGCTGAGTGGTTCAGATTCTCAAGCAAATCGCACAGGGCCCCCTGATGTAAAGATTGGTGATGTGGCATAGGACGGTGGAAGTAACATCTCTTGCATTCAGAGCCAGACAAGTAAAAGCAGATCAAGTCAAATATTTTGTTTCTGAATATGAAAGGTAGTAATGTTTAAGTAGTTTTCATTTCACCCATAATTTTAAATTGAGAAAATTTTACTTAGAATATTTTGCCCATTTGAGTTTTTAAATACCTATCAACTTGCAAAACAATCAATATAGGTTTTAGAATAACTTTCATCCAATTTCTTCATGGTCTTCTAAGCCTTTGAACAAAGAGGAACCATCTTCATTAGAAGATAATACTATTGAAGATTAAAATACAGTTTCATCTCAGTGACTGACTTCATAAAAGTATGTCCTGTACCACCTTTTTTATTTCTTAATAGTAAACTACAGGTAAAATTCTCTAAGTTATAGGTAATAGTAGTAATGGGGAGAAAATAGAAAATATCTCTGTAGTTTCCTTTGCTTTCTTCATAGAGAACTTCAGTTTTTCCTGTTTTTTTTTTTTTTATGTAACTTAAAAGTCTGAGTCCAGTATCTTAGGAAAGTTTTCATAATATTATAACTAATATTCTTCTCTCAGGGGAAAAGTGTGTCTCTGTAATATAGTCTTCCTTTGGAAATGTCCTCTTTCATTTCCACATTTTCTAGCAAATCCTGGTTCAGGCTTGGTCAATTGAACTTATTTAGTCTTAAAGTAGGAAGACCTTACACAGTTTATAATGGGAAATTCTCAGTGCCCTAGAATTAATTATTAAAATGATAAATTAGATTTACTACACTATGCTCAACAAAATGAATGTGAATTTTACGGTAATATTGTGTGTACTCAACCAAAATGAAATTATACAACATAGTATCTTGGTGATGCCTTATTACTTAAAGATTTAATGTTTTCAATATAAAAATATATGCCTTTTTAGATATGTGGGGTTTTTTTTCCTGAAAATAAAGAAGTAAAATTCTCTTAATTTACTTAGTAAGGTAAATGTGATATAATATGATAACTAAGGATGAGGAGGTATGTTTATTCATAACAATGACAAAATAAAATGCCACTACATCTGCTTAAGAAAAATTAAAAAATCAGTGATTAAAGTATATCAAAGGACCCAATTATGCAGTTTTACCCAAGCGTCATGCATAAATCCCAGGGATGATATAGTTATATGCTTTCAGTACATCAAGGAATGACAAGTAAGCATCCTGAAATATATACATTTTGCCACAACACAGGTTCTCAAAGGGAAGCTTTCTATAAAGAGGCTTCTGGACACTTGACCATAAAAGTTTTGCTAAGTGTGGTCATTGTGTAGTATTAGACCTAGAAATCAAAACCCAGGTTTTCTAATTCCAACTCCATGAGTAAAATTTCTAGTTAACATTGGAAAGTATTGTCTTAACTGTTAAGCCTGAATAAATTGTTTCCGGCTTTTTGTATAGGTCATAACAATACTCTTTTGAAATCTCTTCGTGAAAATGCTCTTTTTTTCAATTAGCTGTTCTAGGTAGTTCATCCAAGAGGAAGGGGTATTCTTGCTTCCTCTTCTGGCAAATGAAGAGACATCAGGGAAAGCCTTGTCAAGATAGCTCCCTAAGACCAGAGTCAATGCTGCCACCTCTTGGCAAACTTGGATCTATACTTGATGTCATTTCTAAAGGGAATAACATCAATCTACCTCCACCCCCTATTTAATTAATGATATATCTGGGTGAAATTAACCCAGCCTCTGTGAATATAACCTGCCAAGGGAATTCATCAGTAGTTCACAGGACAGACATCCAAAGACTACTCTTAAAATTTAAGATCTCTTTACATATTCATTACAAATTTAATAATGTGACCCACTTCATCTGTTAATGTTATCTCCTTTGCCTAGCTGCCTACACAGAAGGACACATAGCCTTGAGGTTCTCACACCCTTGCCTGGAAGACCACAATAGTTACTGCATCAACGGTGTTTGTGCATTCCACCATGAGCTGGAGAAAGCCATCTGCAGGTAATTGCAAAGAACTTGCCAAGTCCTAGAGACAGGAAGAGGTGAATTTATGCCTGTGGTGTTTCACATAGCACGTTCCCACATGCCTCTATGTATCTAGTAAAAAGGGTCATGATCTGAACATGACTCACCAGTCCTCTTTGTATTTGAATACCTAAAGAGTTTTTTTCTTAAACTACCTAATCCTTGTCACTCAAAAATATGGTACCTAGATTAGCAGCATCTGTGTAACTTGGGAACTTATTAGAAATGCAGAAACATATGCTGTATCTCAAAACTACAGGATCCAAATCCGTGTTTTAACAACATGCAAAGATGATTCTGAGTGTTTACAGGTTGATTTTAGTATGAAATCGGTAAAAGACTATGGCAAAAACACTTGAGGAATATAAAGTTCTAGAACAACTAAGATACTACTTTTTGGTCATCGATTTGCTTAGCATTCTCCTGTGAAAGAGTAGGTTAAAATCTCCTAGATCTCCTCATGTGAGCGCACTGCCTTTCTTTCTACCAGCAAAGGAACCTGTATTAATATGGGGCCTTGGTGAAATGATTATTATAAAGTATATAACTTCTCAATACCTTTAACAGAATGATTTTCATTTGGTATTTGATACTTTAATTTAAATAGCTTACTTTCTGTTGAATTTTTCCATTCCTTGAAATTGGTCATTTTTTTGTATTTCTATCGTCATGAGTTTTAAAATTAGATGCTCTTTTCTTTTTTTAAAGGTGTTTTACTGGTTATACTGGAGAGAGGTGTGAGCATTTGACCTTAACTTCATATGCTATGGATTCTTATGAAAAATACATCGCAATTGGGATTGGTGTTGGATTATTATTAAGTGGATTTCTTGCTATTTTTTATTGCTACATAAGAAAAAGGTATGAAAAAAACAAAATATGAGGTCATAGAGCACTCATTCTTTGACAACTGTTTGTGAGCCCTTACATTGTGTTAGGCATTGACATGTATAATTTCTTAGTGAAAACGTGGCTGTAAATCTGGCATGTTCCTACATACTTGTTTTGATGCCTTTTCTCATAAATGCAGGCAAGCAGTAAAAACTTACCTTCAGTTGCAATAGGATAGCTCCAGTTTACAATTTCCCTTCATCCTTTCCTCTGTCTGTGTCCATCAAAGTTACAAATGAGGACAGTGGGCACCACAAGAGATTAAAGGTGTCTTGTTCACAATTATATATTCAGTGCTGAATACAGTGCCTGACACACAACAGACACTCAGTAAATATTTGTTGAACAAATCAAGAAACAAGTATTAAATGAATGAACAGGTATGACAAACATGACCAATTTTCTTCCTAGACACCCATGGAGGGTATATTCAGTATTCTCTGCTGCTAAAAGCCTAAGAAAATACACTTGATTGACCAAGTATATAAATTACTTATGTGTTAATTCTTATTTCTGTCTTACCACACTGGTAATTTTCCCTTAAGTACGTATAAGTAGGGAAAAGTCAAGAAATAATATGAGATACATTAAAGTAAAAAGTATAAATGTATTTCCTTGCTTTATTAACAGAGTTGCATTTTTTAAATGACCAAGACTGACTGTAGAAAATGAGAAAAGTTTTGTTTGCTTAATAATTGCACCTTAGAAAAAATTCTTATATATTTAATTGTGGATCAGTTGGTACAAAATCCATTATATCAGTTGAAATTGATATACCATTTGCATAAGAGACCAAGATCAAGATATGGGGGGAAAAAAGGAAGGAAAGGAGACCTTTTGGTGTTGACAGCTGTCTGAGGTCAGGTTCCTTAGAAGCAGAACCTAAGGTGGGGATTCTTGTGCAAGTGATTTCTGGAGGGAATGCTCTAAAATGAAGTCTGTACTGAGGTGAGGAAATCTAGAGCAGGGAAAGAAAGAAGGTAAGCAAAAATGCATCTTTAGCTGAAGTCTAGACTCAACCTGATTCCACAGGCAGATCTAGAACATGAATGGCACCGCAGACCTATCCCAAGAAAGTGAAGATCTTGCTCTCAGTACCTTGTGTCATCAAACATAGGTGGCAGGATGCTCCTGACCGGGTAGGGAGAAGGGGCTTGAAATCTCCCAGGAAGCGTCAGGCAACGTGCTCAGGTGCCCGAGCAATCCCCCGGAGAAGGGGGCTGCTGTGAGCCTGTGAACGCCCACAGCGGCGGGGGATGGATCCATCAGCGGGCAGAGGGTATCTGGGCGGGGCACCATGAGCAACCGCTATACCAGAGCATTTTTCTAATCCTCAACAAGCTATACAAACAGCAGTCAACCTCATGGAAACCAATGCTCTGTTTTAGGTGTCTAAATCTGAAATCGCCTTACAATGTCTGTTCCGGAGGAAGACCACTATGAAGTCTTGTAAGGAATTTTCATGAAGCATTTGTAAAAATCAGTGGGCCCAAAATTGAAATCTTCGAATGAAATAGCAGAACTTCCCAGGCTGACTATACTTGAAAATAATGGAAGTTGGGATCCTGATGGAACGAGAGAATAAACGGGGCAAGGTTGGTGTTTCAAGTTTGCCATCGTTAGGGTGCCATGGGAGCCATGTGAACGAACTGCAGTGACAGATGTCAAGCTCACAGTCCTACTCTGGGTTCGTTGCTTGTGTTATGTGGTTATAGTTCTCACTGCAGAGAGACTGAGTTTCATGTGAATTTTCATGGGATAATTATCAACCTTGCACAAGCCAGGGCACTGTGAAGCCTGGGTTCCTCACGTGCTTGCTGTCAGTATTTTGGACCCCTGCTCTATGGACCTAATCTCAAGCATGCTGCTGTCATGGTGTCTAAACAAATGTGATGTCAACTATTAGGATGAGATCAGTGTAATGGCACCTTCAATGAACCAAACGTGCCTGAAGTCTAAGCCAGAGAAAAAGAAGATGGAATGTTCAAGGCACATTTAAATCAGACCCAGCTTGTGACAACAATGTGTAGCCTTTATCTGTGAAATATGGAATAAGCTAAAGAGTTTCTGATGACTGAAAGCTATCTGGATATTGAGCCCTGAACAGAAAAAACATTTCTGTTTCTGTGTGGATTATAAAACTTTGTCTTGGACTCTTTGGTCCCCGAATGCTTATGTTCATCACTTCCTTCTATTGTTAATGGAACTACTTGGTGACTTATCCATTTGCACCAAAATTCTAGAATTCTACCAATAAATAAAATTCCATAATGGACCCTGAAATAGAAATTTAAGAATTGGACATACAAATTTTTCACCAGCCAACAAAATGTGGAAACTTTCTTTACCATTTCTGAATACTTCATAGCAGGTTTGCACAAAGAGAAAGAAAACAGAACAATAATAAAAATAACTATCTGGGTATTAGGGTCCTTCCTTTTTAATCATGCCTTCCACACAATTTGCACAGTCTTGGGCAAGTCTTTTAATTTCTTTGGGCTTTTGTTTCATTTTCTACAAGGTTCTTCTAGCTCTAAAATTTGACACTGGGAAAAGAAAGACATTTTCCCCTATCTATGCTGCCAGTGGGATTTTTCTCAGCCCCACATTCATCCCCAAAACACACCACTGTATATCATCTTAGGTGTACATTTTAGTGTTTGGTTTATAAAACAATAATTTAAGAATTTGTTTTTAAAAGAAGTAAGACATAAAATTAAAGAATAATAAGGCATCTACATTTTTTCTTTCAGATTCAATCTAAAACTATGGACTTTTTATTCATCATGTTGTAGATAGGCAAAACAATTTTGATCATGAAATTAGTTAAAAGAGTATCCTTACAATGTGAATAGCCTTATTGTAGCCTAGTAACAAGCCTTTCACTTCTATTAAGTTATGACTTTTTCTTCACTCCTGAACTTTGAGTAGAAGGTATTTTGCCTGCTTTGTTTTTCCTTCAGAAGAAACTGAATGCAGATGAACTGCACGTCAGCACTTTCTGCATGTCCTCACAAAGTATGCAAACTTTACATCATCCCAAAAGAGTGGGGAGGTGAAGGTTCCTCCCAGTGACTCCAGCGACCGCACCTAGAAAGCTATGCTCTTCCCCAGCATTTCAAAAGGTGTTAAAAAGCTGGGAAGAGTCCAGGAGGCAACAATTCAGCTGAATGAAAGGAAAGAGTAGTTAGTGCTGGAGTCTGGAGAAGTGGTAACCTAAAAAGTTATGAATATTTGCTATCTGTAAATATTTCTAAATTATAAATACAATGTAATTAAAAGTAAACAACATCAGAAAGAGAATGAAAATTCCCAGGTTGGCAAACCAAAAAGTGAACAAAAACAAAACCCAATAGATACAGACTTTTTCACCTGTGGGACAGTGTGCATTACCAGTATCCGCCCAGTGAGGCTGTACAGAGATTCATTGTGGCTCAGGAGAATTCATCTGTTTACAGTGTGCATACAAGATCATCTGTGATCCCTTAACTCCAGGAGTTAATTTCACAGGAAGGAACCTCTGGCATTCAGTGGCAATATTTACGGAGGTAAACAGGACTTCGGGGAAAACGAATAAATGTGAATTGTTCTGCAACTTTTTTCATCTTCTGTTTTTTTCCTACATCCAATAAGACCCTGAAAAAAGCCTTCCAGTAAAGCCCTTTTGCATCAGAACTACATTTTCAGCACTCAATCTGTGAATGAATAGGTGGGGTAGATCATTTAGGAAAGAAATGAGAACATGTTTCTGGCATCTTTGACTCATTCAAACTGGCCAAGAGGTTCATCAATTTTCTTCAGTTCCCATTTTCTCTTTTTCCTCTATCCTTCAACCCCTTGAGAACACTCTTAGGTCATCAATATTCATGAGTGCTTCTAGAGTTAGCATTTTAGAGAATGATAGGGGTGGAAGTAAACCATATAATTTCAGTCCTACTTGAGCCAGGAATTTTCAAAAAGGGAATTATAATTGCTTGTTATTGTATCTTCTTTCCCCAAATTAGTTCTCTGTATAGTTATGTTTTCATAACCTTTGAAGGTGAAATATAACACCATTCATCTTTTAGTGTTTCCTGGCACAATACACACTTAATCTTTTAATTTTGATATGTCCATTTTGGTGATGTCAAGATTGCCATTCATTATATGTAACTGAAAAGTCTTAAGAAAATAACAGGGCAAACATCAGTAATTTAAACATTTATGTTGAATATAAGGACAGTTTTTCTTTGCAGAAGACCATGAATAAGCCATTTAACTTCTCTGCATTACAAAACCTAGTACACCGTCTTTGGTGTGATATAAATATTGATACCCTGCAACCCACACTCATGGGAAGGGTTACCAGAATTTCTTTATTGCAAAATATCACTCTTTCTGGCTTACATCATGGCTGCATGACATCAGAATGCTAGCATCAGCCAAGTTGAATGGGGAGTGTTGAAATTTAATTGGTTAGAGTCTGGCACTGCTAATCTGGGTGAGGCCACATGCCTGTCCAAACCTTTGGCGCAGCCCCATTCAGGAACACATTCAGGAGCATATCCTCAAATTCAGCTCCAAACTTCTGTTAACTATTCAATCCATGAAGGCACAGCTCAGAGTACGGGAGCCTAGCAGTTAATATCCTAAACATTCAAAGCAGGGCCTGCTGAGACTATCCATGTGAATAAATGAATCCTCTCATTGTATTTCATTCCTCTGCCCAACTTAAACATGATGGATATTCCAGTTTGTGGGCAACACCCACAGCTTCCAAAGAAACATCTCATAAAGATTAGGAATGTGATGATATGATAAGGAAAATTGAATTGTTTAGTCAGGTCTTATCAATGAAATACTTCATGGCTTTCTTTGTAATTTTTACCTCTCACATGTTATTGGGGCATAAATCAGTTAGGTTGAAATTTGGCTAAGTCCACAGTCAAGCAGGTATCAAACTAGCAGCACTTTTGATCTTCAAAAGATATTAACTAGACTTCACGTCTTTCTAGAAAGAATGGCCTCCTTAGATCTTTAAAATAGCACAAAAATACTGATTCAATATTAAGTCCCTTCACAAATCAAGTAGGAGTAACAGTATAATATAGCTATTATTTATGAGCACTTACTGACTTACTGTGTTTGAAGAACATTATTAGCATTATTTTAATTAATCCACACCTACATATAGGAAGCTTACAGAAGGCAATTCACTTTTTCAAGGACACATAGCCTTTAAGTGGCAGAGCCTCTGCCTGAACCAGGTAGATTTGGTGCCAAAGTCCCTCATCTAAACTCTATATGGTAATGCTTCCCAATATTTTAGGTAAAATTCCTATGTTGGGGATTGTTTTATTGATGAGCTTAAAGATATACCCAAGTGATTTCTATGCAAATGAAAAAAAGTTCATTTCTTTAAAATATATGAAATAATAACCTTTGTCATGGATCAACCACAAAAACTCCTGGCTGTGATCTGCATATTATGCAGATATGCATACCATCCTAAGGGTGGGGCCAAGACAAGAGTCAAGTGCCTGCTGACAGTGGGATGTGGAGTCTGGGGAGAGACCATAGACTGTGAATGAACCCTGCTTTATCTTCAGGGCTCAAGGGATGAGGAAGTCACTTGGGAACACTGGACCCCCAGCTGTGAACCAAGGTTCTCCAGCTCTGTCCCAACTGTGGCAGGCCTGGCTCAGTCTGGTGATGGGATGAAGAATGAGTGTTTTCATATCTACAGGAAAATCTCATCAACTCTTTCCACCACAAAACTCTCAATCCCACCCTCAGTCCCACAGTACCTTAGAGAAAAACAGTGATGATGGACTGGTTTGTGGCAAAAATAGCAAGCAACATTTGAAAATCTGTGCAATGGATGGACACTTAAATAATCTAGTGATCTAGTCCATCTGCGTGGTTATCTAACCTTGCTGGGGCCCTTTGGACATGATATTCTTGTCTGTGAAGTGGAGAAGTTAGACTCTAAAAGATGACCTCCACATTCCCTTCCTGTTTAGAAGTGGTATGTTGAAAACATGCAGCCTATAAGGCAGGTTCAGCCCACAAATATATTTCCTTTAGCTTTCCTGGTGTTTGTTCTAAATCAAGCCCACACTTAAGAAATCAAGATGTTTTACTCTAAAGAAATCTAGCTTTTCTAAACTTCTTTTGAAAACTGGAAGACAGAGAACACCAGCCCTCTAGTCTTATATAGCTTTGGTTAGAAGGAATGTGACCTAAGCACTGGCCAGCTTCTGTCACTATGCTGGGCATTCAGGGTTCCCATGGGCCCTTTAAGTCCACAGCCTCGTTCTTTGACTGGATTCATTTTAAGACTGTGCCCCATCTAAATCCCTCGGAGTCTAATCCCCAGGACACCTGCAGAGGGCCTTGTTGCATTGTGAAAGGCACAAGCCATGAAAGAGTGTCAGCTGGATGGGTTGCCCAGGACTATGCTCTTCAGGAGAACCTGCACTCACCTGGAAGCTGGCAGGATTGGCAGCCAATGACTCAGACACCCTGCCCTGCCCACAGCCTCAGTCACTCTCTGCTTCAACCCTTACCAGCTTTGTTTTCTCAGTGCTCAGCCCTGCTTACATTACCTGCCTGCTCCAAACCCCAATCCAACTCCCCATCCTGCACCTCATTTAGCAGACTCCTCTCCCCATGGTCTGACATGCTCCTCCTCCCCCTTCCCCCCACCCCACACACCTCGGGAGGCACAAGGGTCTTTCTTTCTCATCTGCTCCGCCAGGGCTCCTTACACCAACTGTCAGCTGCAGCCAATGACTGCCACTGCTCCCGGAACAGACCCACATTCCTATCTGTGTGTTAAGGTCTAGCTCTCCCCTCCACATATATTACTTTCCATTACCTCTGTCTGTCAGGATCCTACACAATTTTTTTCAAATACTGTCTCCCCCTTGCAGAATTGTATTATTCAGAGATATCATCTTTCCTTCCTTTGAACTCTCTGGATATCCTTTTTTTTTTTTCAATCTCTCAAATAGTGCTTACATTCTGCCTTGTTTTATAATGATCTTTGTTATTGGCTAAGTTCCAGTGGTAATAATAATAATGGGCTTCATTTATTAAGTTCATACCACAGACTGGGCACAGTGCTAAGTAATCTATGTATAGCATCTCTGTCAATCTTCAGAGACAATCAGGAGGAAGGCTGTGGTGAACAGTGGTTAAGAAGGTAAGTCTTTGTAGTTTAACAGATGGAGGCTGAAATCCCAGCTCTGCCCCTTACTAGCTGTCCTACCTTGACCAAGGCTCTTAACTTTTCTAAGTCTGGTTTTTGCTATTTGTAGAAAGGGGATAACATTTATCTCTTGGAATGTTTTGAGGGTAATAGTAAGTGCTCAAGAATATTACCTATTTTATTATGATTGTCTTTCATTTTTCAGGTTAGGAAACCAAAATTTAGAAAGTTTAAGTAATTGGTTAAATAATATGCAGCTAGGAAGTGGTGGCACCTGGGTTTGATGCCAAAGCTGTCCAGCTACAAGGCTGCTTCTCCCTGCATAGTCCTTTGACCATGGCTGGTGCTTGGGCAAGGTCATTTTAAGCAGAATCTGCAATCTCAGAGAGCTGAGTTTTTAATTCAAACTGTTTATTAGCTCTGTGATGGAAAATAAGTGATTTAACTCCATTATAAAATGAGGATAATAATTACAACTAACCATAGGGTTATTTTAGGATTAAGTTAAATTAGATAGCTAATGTATATAAAATATCTAGAACACAGTACTCATTCAATAGATATTACTTATAATTATTAAATATTTAAAACTCCTATTGAAACTCTGATTGGCATTCAGTACAGTTGGTTTTATTATAATGTGACATGTGCCTTCCTAAAAATCATCACATTGCAAAATTGAGCAATAAAAACCACAGGGCTTATGGGAAAACTGGGATTAGGGGAATAATGCTCAAAAACTTTGCTGGTGACACATTTAAAAAAAAGGAACCAATACAAACAGTGGCATAGTTTTACACATTTTAAATAGTTAAGAAAGACAGTAAATAGTTCAGTATGTAGGGCATATTACCTTGAAAAATACCTGCAGTTTGCTTGTGGAAGAGGGTGTCAGAAGGGTTGTACCTCATGAGATATTGTCAAGTGATGGAGGAAGGGTTTTAGGAATTGGACTGAAAGTTGTGACAGCAGATGTGGGTGAATATAGCTTGTAGCACAGATGTGAACCAAAGTAGGTGGAATATGGCTGAGATCTGGGCATGTGTGCGTGCATCCTGTGCAGTCCACACAGCCCAGGTCAGCAGCTTTGTGCATTCATCTAGCAGTTCTATCAGGTAAAATCAGGCATAAGCAAATGCAAAATTCTCATTACGCTGAAGTTCCTTTATGTTGGAATAAATTCACGTTTTCAAAACAAGTATTTAAATAGAACAGACTGTTCCTTGAAATTATCACAACTCTTCTCTTTCAATCTAAATCTTAATTATAATTATTAGGCACTTGAAATATTCTGATTACATTAGTCACTCAAGACCTTGAGGACTCAGGGGGTTATGATAACCCTCATTTCTCCACCTAATTTCAACAGGAGTGTCAAGGACATAATTCCAAAGCTGCATGTTATTGTGGATTCAATTTATCTCAGACAAATGTGTTATCATAGTCTTCATTCTTTCCTTTGTCAGGCTATAAGTGGCTAGAAACCCTCACAACTATATTTTCTTTCCTCAGATGGTTTTCTTCCAAATATTATCAGTTTACAGTGCTAATGTGAAGAGGACCAGTTCTTCCTCCTGTCGTCATGACTTATTCCCCTTTGCATTTGTTTTTGTTTTTGTTATTACTCCCCAAGGACACTGTTACTTTTATTCAGACGTCTTTAAATGATGCAGAAGAAAAAAAAAGTTTGTCTCCCTTCAGCTGGCTATATTAGGTAATAAATTATGCCAAACTGCCGACCTTCCACCAGCAAGAACTGGCTTAAGAATTAACAAAACATTGAATAGAAGAAGACACCATTGAGCAAAAGGAAACTTATAAGAAAGAAGAGTCAAACTTGATATATACTAGGGTCCCAAGCTTGAGCCAAACCCAAGTTACTGTCAGGGTTCATGCCTGCATCGATGG